TTGCTACTACTACTACTACTACTACTACTATACTACTACTACTACTACTACCACTACTACTACTACTACTACTACTACTACTACTACTACTGCTACTACTACTGCTACTTGCTACTACTACTACTACTACTACTACTACTACTACTACTACTACTACTACTACTACTACTACTACTACTACTACTACTACTAGAACTACTACAACCCAAAACTACTATCCCGCCCGCCAACCCGTCATGTCATCGATATTGGCTGCTGGGGCTGAGCACGCGCAGAAACTCTTGTAACACACAAATGCGAGTAGGGAGGGGGGGCGGCAGGAAGGGGGAACGACGTAGGGAGGAGGAGAAGGATCAGGAGGACGATGAGGAGGAGGAAGAGGAGGAGGAGGACGATGTGGGAGGAGGAGGAGGAGGAGGAGGAGGAGGAGGAGGAGGAGGAGGGAGAGGAGGGGGAGGAGGAAGAGGATGAGGAGGAGAGGGGGAGGAGGAAGGAGTAGGAGAAGGAGGAGGGATGAGGAGGGAGGAAGGAGGGCTCCAAGAGGGCTCCAAGGCCCCAAGAGTGCCCTAAGAGTGGCCCAGAGAGGCCCCAAGAAGGCCGCCAAAGCAGCCCCTTCCGAAACATATAATGTGTTCCGTTGTTTGTCCCGCCCCCTTCCGAAACATGAAATATGTTTCGGTTGCTTGTTCCTCTTGCTGCCGTTTCGGGCTCTTTTGGGGCCCCTTGTAGGACGCCAGTCCACTGGACCCACCAACACCACCGAAATTGGCGGCAGTTTCGCAGATCGCAGCCCCCCCCCAGGGATGGCGAGGTCCAATCTGAGCCCCCATATGACGTCATTTTGCTGGCCCCCCATGCAGCCCTCTAAAGTTGGTCCTTCTAAGGCTTATTTGGGCGCCAAGAAAAGTCAATACGGGCCCCAGGAGGGCTCCAAGAAGGCCCCAAGGGGACCTTCAGTGTGGCCCAGAAAGACCCCAAGAAGGCTCCCAAAGCAGCCCTTTCCGAAACATCAAATATTGTTCGGTTGTTCTTCCCGCCCCCGTTCCGACACATAAAATATTTGTCGGTTGCTTGTTCCTCTTACTGCCGTTTCGGTTTTGTTTAGGGCCCCTTGTAGGACGCCAGTCCACAGGACCCACCAGCACCCCTCGAAACTCGCGACAGTTTCGCAGATCGCAGCCCCCCCCCCCCAGGGATGGCGAGGTCAAATCTGAGCCCCCATAGGACGTCACTCTGCTGGGCCCCCCTGCAGCCCTCGAACGTTGGCCCTTCTAGGGCTTATTTGGGCGCCAAGAAAAGTCAATAAGGGCCCCAGGAGGGCTCCAAGAAGGCTCCAAGAGGGCCCTAAGAGTGGCCCAAAAAGACCCCAGGAAGGCACCCAAAGCGCACCCTTCCCCTAAGAATTTTTCAGGATTCCTATGGATTCGCTAATATTCTTAAGGATTCCTGACGGAATCCGGAGGAGTCCTGATCCTAAGGATCCTAAGGGATCCCAAGGACCCTGAGGAATCCTAAGGATCCTAAGGAGTCCTAAGGAGTCCTAAGGAATCCTAAGGAATCCTAAGGAATCGAAGTACTTGTGAAGAAGAAAGAAATACTTCTGAAGAAGACAGAAGTATTTCTGAATAAAAAAGAAGTACTTCTGAAGATCCCATGGTTGTAACTGGCCCCATGTATGGTTGCAATTCGCTCCGAGCGGTTGGAATTGGGACCAGTCGGTTGCAATTCGTCCCATTTCGGGGGGAGGGGCGAGGGGAGGAGGAGGGAGGGGGGTTTAGGGAGAGAGGGAGGAGGGGGAGGGGAGAGAGGCAGGCCGGAGAAACGCGAGGAGCCACAACCACAGATGGCCCCTCCTCCTCCTCCTCCTCCTCCTCCTCCTCCTCCGCCTCCTGGCGATCCGTCTGGCCCCTATGGGCCGCCAGGCATAGCAGAAAACCGAAACCCCGACACAAACTGAATCCATAGTTTCTCTGTTTCGCACCCCCAAGAGCAGGCAGGTCGTCCGGCAAGCGCATGCCCTGGACAAAGGAAACCGGGGCGACAAGCCACTGCTGGCGCGGCAAGTCGAGCGGCACCGACAGATCGCACTCGTTCGTCTTTGTCTGTATCTCGTGCTCGGATGCCCCCACCACGAAAGTCAAGTAGGCCGAGGCGCCTCCCTCCTTCGGTAGTGGCAAGACCACCGTGCGAGCCCTCAGCGCCAAGGCCAACACCTCCGAGGGGCGCGTGTAGGTCTCGAACGTGATCAGGATGGCCAAGCCACTGGACGTTCCACCCTTTGAGCGTCTGGTGCGTCAAGGGGAAGACTTCCCGAATCCCTGCCACGTGGAGCGCAGGCCCCGCCCAGAGCGGTGCAGGCGCCAGCCGCTGCGTCGTCGCCTTGGGGCCCCCGCGGTCGTAGATCGCCTCGGCGCACTCGGCCAGGGTCTCGCGTCTCGGCCAGTCCGGGGGGCAGCCCATGCCCAGCCAGCGCGACAGCCCCAGCGCGGTCCCAAGGTGCAGCCCCTGCGCGTGGGGTCGCACCCTCGCGGCCGCCAGGCGGGTCTGACGCGGGCAATGCTGGCGCCGCTGCTGGTCGAAGTCGCTCCCCCAGCGATCGCGGCCAAGCATTGCACGCCGCCCAGCCAAGCCTGGCCTGCCCCCTGGACCGCTCAGCACCGGCACCGCTGCGCGCCGCGGCGGCTCCAGCACGCGGCACTCCGCTCGGGGTGGCGAATGGGGCCTGGGGGGGGGCTCGCCGCGGTCAGGGGCGTCGTCGCCTTGGACCGCAGCGTCGCCACTTCTATCGGCGCGGAAGCGACATCCCGAGGTGGCGCCGCAAGCCCCGCACTGACGGTCTTGATGCTGGAAACGGCGAGAGGGGCCGTCGCTCGGGTTTCACTCTGAAAGACGCGACCTAACCTGCAACTTCTGACATGCTGCAACTCTGGCTGCAAAGAGGACGCGACATGCCCCCAACTGACGATGGTTGGCGGCGCGACCTTTGGCGGCGGCAAGAGTGAGCGACATGTTATCTCCCAGATACAACCTCCGCGAATAGTGCTGTCGAACGCCCCTCGCCGCCCGACGGACCGACCAAGTCAGGGCAGCGCCCCCCAGGCCATGGATGGCCCCCTTGCGCTTCCAGCGGCCGCAGCCCGCCGCGCGCCAGGGCCTGGCATGCATCTTGCCGTAGCCGACCTCCGGGAACCCAGCGGCGCGCCCCGCCAGCAGGAGGGCTGGCTTAGGGACCAGCGCGATCTCCTGCTCCAGGGCCCGTTCACGGGGGGCCCCATCAGCCGCCAGCAGCCCCCCGAAGCGAGCGCGCTCTGAGACGCGCCCTTCCCTTTGCACGTCGGGGAGCCCCCGCTCGGTCTCAGCGATGCCGCGGCCCCAGGGGGGCGCGTGGACGCAGGTCGCGACGTCAGACCAGGGTGGCCCGGTGTCCGCGCGGAGGCGCGGCAGCAAGGCCTTTGCCCAGCGCGTCTCCCGCGCCGCGCTCTGCCGCAGCGGCTGCCGCTTGGCGCGGGGCGCCCTGGCGAACTTGCAGGGCGCGCGCAGCATGGCCAGCCCCTCGCGGCGCAGCATGGGGAGCGACACCAAGTGGCCGATGAGGCGCTCGATCTCCTGCCCTGTCACGCGGGCTAGCTTGGAAAGCGCGCGCCCCAGGGCGCCGTAGATCCGCCAGAGCCGACGGCCCAGCGCCTGCCAGCAGCCAGAGCGCAAGTCCAGCTCGCAACCCAGCAGCTCCCCGCGCCCCTCAACCGCGGCAGCGAGCTCCGGCACTGCGCCCCTGGCAGCCAGGGCGGCCTGCAGGTCGGCCACGGCTGCAGCTGCGCGCTCCGATGACGCTGACAGCACTGCAAAGTTGTCGATATACAAAACCTCGGCATCGTCAGTACTTAAATCAATCCCCGGAAACTCATCAAGGCACCAGGGCTGCGACGGCAAAACTAACCTGACAATGTGAAGGTGGGCTTCTTGCAAAAAGTGAACTGCCCAGTTCCACCCCATTGGCGCTACCTTGAAGCGAAAGCGGACCTGACCGCAAGCACTTCTGACGTCGGCTGGCAAGAAGCGACTGTCGATCTGAGGCAAGTTGAAATAGCGCCTGCAACAGGGCGGCAACGAGCACGGATAAAAACGGCAGCCAACGTCTCCAGAACTCATCCCAATCATATTGATCCCCGACGCCTCCAGCGAAGATAACGCCTCGCCCATCGCAAGAGCTGTCAGTTCTGCAGTAGTGAATGCATATTCGGCGTTATGGCATCGCACATGAGACGCACAAGTCTGTCTTTGCGAGCAACGAACAACATGCCAGCTCCCTCCAAAACTGGCTCCGAGCTAGCCTCTATAACTCCAGAGGCGAGGAGCTCCCCGAGAGCGCGGCCGCAGTCGGAGCCGAGCCGCCCGAGCTTCGGGCCCATATCACGAGGGGCACCTGCATCGCGAATGAGCGCTGCTGCCTCCGATGTGGATCGCAACAGCCCGCGCCCAGACTCCTGCTCGCTTCATCTTAGGGAGCGAAATGTTCCCTCGCTGGTAGACTGTTCGTGAACCTGAGGCCTCGACTTCAGCATGGCCAGGCCTGAGGCCCTGAAGCATCCTCCACGCTTCATAGGGACTCGGGCGATCAGCGGGCGGTGGCCACTTGCCGCAGGTAGCAGCCAGCCGCCTGACAGTAGCACGCTGGGCCGCTGTCAGCGGAGCGGTAACGGGCACGCGGCGCCCCTGTCCGCCCAGCTCGTTGAGGGGGGGCGATGCCCTCGATCAACCTCTGGCCCTGACGCCGTCTGGTCGCAGCTCTCCGCCTCGCCGCCGGTGTCGCACCCCATGCAGCATCGCCAGTAAGAAGGGACATCAGCTCCGGACCAATCGGAATAGGCAGCAGATCACGATGGCGACCTCCAACGCCTTCGTCACAAAACATAGCGCGGGCGAGCCTGCACCCCCCCTTGAAAATAGTCGCCAACTCGGGGGCAGGCTGGCGACCAAGGAACTTCGACGTCAGGATGGGGCTAAGTTGCCCCCTCTGCACCCGCCTTCCCCTTGGCGTTCGCCTTGGTTTTGGCTGCAGGCGCATCGTCAGCGACTCCACCACGAGCAATAATCTTCTCTTCGCGACCTTTACGACGCTGTTTGAGAACTGCGGCCTCAGACTGAAGACGGCCTGCCACCCAAGTCTGCAGTTCTGGCGAAACCAATGCGCTTCTGCCCCCACGCTCTTGTCCGAGGAATATCTCGCGTTCGTCGAGCCAAGCTGAGCCTCCTGGGATGCGGAGGGCGCCAGCCTCTTGTTCGCGAAGACGATTAACGCACACCTCTTCCCACAGTTGATACCTCCGAGAAACGGCCTCGAAGATCCCGAGCTCCCCTTCATTGAGCTGATCCTTGGTCGCGCCCATCTCCAGGAGCTCTGACAGAAACTGGCGTTCGTCGACCCCAGCGTCCGCCGCAGTGAGGTTTTGGATCTGCCTCCACCACACGTGACGCTGTAGAGGTGTCTGGCCAAGCCGCTTGAACTGCTGCAGCAGCCAGAGAGTCGTGCGTGGCCCCAGCACTGGCCAGTCGCCCTTCGCGCTGGTGGACATGATGTCGACTGCCTCCGAGAGAAGTCTCTGACCCTCGAGCCGCCCTGGTCGTACCTGACGGGGAGGGTGCGCAGGTCCCGCTCGCCAGCCTTGTCGCCGTCGCGCGGGGTGGCCGCGCCGTCCAGGGTCCCCGCCTTCGCGACCGCCAGCATGGTCCCGTCAGCAAGCTCGACGATCCCGCGGTCGTTTGCGATGCGGCTAGGGACGGTCCCAGCAAGCAGCTCGTCACCAAGGCGGTAACCAGCTCTAGCCTCTAGCCTCCAGGACCACCCAGCGCACAGCATCACCAGCGCCAGCACGATCGGCAAGAGCCTTGGCAGCAGGCGCGTCGACGGGCGGTGCTGGGAGCGCGGGGAGTCCAGCCTCCTCGTCGGCAAGGCCCTCCTCACGCCGCACCTCGGCGGCCAGCAGATGACCCTCCTCATGCAGTTTCTTCTCGTTCCGACCGAAGCGCTCCATGTCCACCCTCAGCAGGTGTCCAAGCAACTTCGTCGGCAGGCCTCCCATCGGGCCGACCAAGCAGAGCTGCAGCGCGTCCGAGAGGTCTTCTGAATAAATGTCAAAGTGAGGGGGTGACCACCACCCATCTACTGCTGGTATATAACCCGTCCCAGCTAAACACGTTCATGCCAATATTTGTCCTCTCGCTCGTACAAGACGAACGCGCCAGCCCCCACCCGCAGGTTTGCCAGCGCCTTCGCCGTCCGTGCTGCTGCCATCCGTTTCCTCCACCCGCGACAGCGCTGCCCGACGGACGCAGGAACACACGGCGTCCCGCGCGCAGAGGCCGATCACCAGGCCAAGCGCCAGCGCCAGGGCCAGCTCCAGCCGGGTGTGCCCCACTGGCGGGCAGGACGCCACCACCGCAGGCTGCCCGTGAAGGTGCTCGGGGCCGCACCTGTCGAGCTGGCCCTTCAGCAGCCCGATCAACGCCTCGTCGGGCGAGGCGTCGAAATGGCAGCTACAATCGCACGCCGCGCTGCGGCTGCCGCCGAGCCATGTCCCCAGCGCCTGGCTGCCGACCGCCGCCGCCCAGCGGGCCCCAGCGTCGACGAGGGCTGCGGCCATCCACGGGATGCGATCCCGAAAGAAGTGCCTTGAGCATACAAGGCGGCAGGCATGTAAAATCATTATCGTGGATCACTTCCATGTTGGAAGCCAGACCACGCACGCTGTGTGGTGTCAGCCGCGTGCGTGATGCAAGCTCACCGCACGGGGCGCCCACGAGCGCCATCATCATCATCAGCATCATCATCAGCATCATCATCATCATCATCATCATCATCACCACCACCACCACCACCACCACCATCATCATCATCATCATCATCATCATCATCATCCGTATCAGTATCATCAGCATCATCATCATCATCATCATCATCATCATCATCATCATCATCATCATCATCATCATCATCATCATCATCATCATCATCATCATCATCATCATCATCATCATCATTATTGTCAGCATCATCATGTTCAGCTTGCGTCGATAATTTTCTCCTCCTCCTCTTTACCTCCCGTCGAATGTGGGTCCTCCTCCTCCTCCAGCCGCTCTCTCGAGCCTCGGCCCCGGGATGGGAGCGCGCCAGCATCGCCAAGTCTTCGGAGAGGGACCCCGCCCTCGCGCCCCCCCGCCGGGGGGCGGGGAGGTGGGGGGGGGCCGTGGCGCAGGCGGGGAGCGGTGCTGTTCCCTTCGATGCCCTCCGCCACAGGGAGGCGCCCACCGCCAGGCGAGGAGGGACCGCGGCGCAGGCGGGAGCGGGAGGGGACCGTGGCGCACGCGGGAGCGGAAGGGGACCGTGGCGCAGCCGGCAGGAGGGGCCCTTCGATGCCCTGCGCCAGGCGAGGAGGGACCCTGGCGCGGGCGGGGAGGAGCGGCGCCTTGCACTCTCGCGCACCAGCATCGCCCACTCCTCGA